CATTGTTCCTACCATCTGCCACACCGTCACTCCACCGAAGCTGAGGCCTTCCTCTACGCCTTGTTCCGTGTATTACTTCTGTAATGATTTTCTTTGGAATGTCATTCTTAGACATTCGAGCGACGTGCCCAGCCCATCTCAGTCTATCGAGCTTCATGAAATGAACCACATCTGGTTCCTTAAACAAATCTTTGAGCTCCTGATTTGTCCGACGTCTCCATAACTGGTCAACATTCACAGCTCCAAAGATTTTAGGCAGAATCTTCCTCTCAAAGACCATTAGATTCTGCCCGCCAGTTTTGGAGATAGCCCATGTTTCGTAGGCATTCAATATTTACCATCATTAATCATCTTTCAAAAGAACAAGCGCCCACTTTTTAAGGTCTGCAGGGAAGCGAACTGAACAAATAGACCTGCAGACATTATCTCGTAGTTGGGTGTCATCCTCGACTGAGATCTGACATTATTCCACCACTACCAGATGAAGATCAAATTCATTGGTGAAACCAAGTCTTACAGACTGAACCATCTGTCGACTTCACCGAACATATCTCTAACTTAATTATTTGTAAAAGCGTTTCCTAACCGGCTCTTCCTCCTGGAACACCGATGCTACCAAATATATCAGCTTTAATGGCAGCTTAGCTACAGCAGTTTGAGAACAGCGTGCTGAGACGTATTGTTAGACATATTTTATTACAGAGGACAAAAACGGACTACATAAGATCTCAGAACAATCGACCATAAATGCCTTTATAACAGGAAAACATAAAAATTTTAAGGATAGCCACGGTGGTGGCCAAACGCATGAAAAAGTCCTCAGACTAGGACCACTGATTAATTGGTCCGACACAAGATAACTGGTGTGCCCCATCACTATAATATCGTTTTATCACAATTACAATTTTCTCTAAACGCAGCTCCTCAAAACCTCTTTAGAATGTATTCAATAAAAAAGATACTATTCCGGCTTGTTTGTCGAAATATCAAGTCCACGTTTTAGAGGCTAAGAACAAATAAAAACTAATCATAGAGAGTGTATGTGGCTAAAGCACTCTTGCTCAATCTCCACTGGGTTTAGCCCTAGTGACGCGGTTGAGAGAGGAGTGCAGGGAACTCCTGGAGTCATACTTTTCCCTCCACAGTTGGAGGGATAAGTCTGGTTTGGAGTTCTCTCGCCAAATTGTAAGTATTGTATATAGGTGTGTATGAGTTCTTTTTATTTATTTATTTTTACGTTATTTTATTCTTATTTATTGTATATATATTATTTTTCTGTATAATTTATTTTATTTATTGTACATAGAGTATGAATGTGATCTGTGAACTCTATTATAAATGTCCTAGAGACAGATTGTAATATTTTTCAATAAATAAGTTTAAAAAAAAATCATAGAAAATCCTCTATATACAGTTAAAAACTGATTAATTTGCTTTCTATTGGCCGTATCGTGGATTTAATCTTTACGGTACACTGACCATTTTGCAAAAAAACGCGTATAAATTGGTTCGATAGTTTTTGTGGTTATCTCTATATTTGTGACATCTCCTTCTTTATAATGGTTATGTAGATAACCTTGGATGTTAAAGAAATCTATGAGATGCGAAGATGGTTGGAATGAGATCACACAAAGTGAATCTTTCTTATAATGTTATGATTTGTATTCCTTGTTAGAGATGTTTCATATACACAGAATATTAAATTCTTCTCTTATCTTAACTCCGTAATGTTTAATTATTCTTGTTTTACATAAAAACTAAAAAATGAATAGAGGTACCCTACATCACATCTTCTTCTTCAATAATCTCTTTTACCTTTCGATGTAGAGATTTTTGTACAAGGATTTCCATCCGTCTCTGTCGAGGACTGCTCTCCTGGCTTTCGTACATCCACTTCTTCTATTTCTACAGAACTCCTCTTCTCTACATTACATACGGAACATTATTACTACTTTTTTTTCACGAAAAAACATATTTTTTCAATGTTGAGCGATGTCTTTTTTCGGTCCACAATATTTCATGCATTATTATTCCATTTTGTGTAACCTGTTATACCTCATTTCCATAGGGACATTTTCTTAAACATTGAGTAAATCCTGCATTCTTGGAGATGCTAGGGGAGAAGGAATAAGGATGTCGGACATACGAACTTATTCGAAGAACATATTACAGATGTTCAAGTAGGATTTGATCTGAACAACATATAGGAAGTAAATGTTGATTTGAGAGATCTATCTACCACCAATTATCTTTTTTTTCCAAGTGAAAGATGTTGCTTTTCCATTGTTAAAAATAGACTGATTGAAAACTAACATAAAATTAAAAATAAAACAAAGAGTACTTAAATATTTATTGGATAATTATCCATTCTGTACACAATGTGTAGTATCTATTGTATTTGCATTTGTAAATAAAATTCTAATTTAATAATGATAATAGTTGGAAACAATAAAATATATTTTTTTAAACACATATCCTTATTAACTATTGAATTGCTTATTATATGTTAAGTACAAATACACAAATACACTGTGCATAATGTGTTAAGTGCAAAAATCATATTGATGGAAAAACACAATTGAACGTTTGGAATTTCACAGGTGCAAGATCGATTTTCTACTTTCACCCCATGATTCACGAAGGAAGGTTTTTCTCTGTAATAGCCGCATAAATTACAATTAGTAAGAAAGAGAAAAAAATTAGCAATTGCACTTTTCACAGGTGCCTCCGATATATATATATATATTTACAACTTTTCCTTAATCGACCTTTGAGTATTAAATTTAAACTCAACTATTTAATTGGGAATAAGGTCACTTATTAATTATTTAATAAACTATTGAATGTTCATTTCTTCTGTTTATTGACGTTTCGATCCCGGTGTTTTCTTTTTATTAGTCAACCATGGGATCCTCTTCAAAGCTAGAATTTGGACGGTGCTGAGACTGTCGGTGTGTCCCTGGCCTGATCGAAGCTCTATTTTTTAAGATTCTAGCTTTGAAGAGGATCCCATGGTTGACTAATAAAAAGGAAATACCGGGATCGAAACGTCTATAAACAGAAGAAATGAACATTCAATAGTTTTTTAAATAATTAATAAGTGACCTTATTCTCAATTAAATAGTTAAGTTTAAATAAATATATATATATATATATATATATATATATATATATATATATATATATATATATATATAAATGTATTTTTTTTTTATTAACATTATGCTTCGTTGCGTTTAAACAGTCATATTATCTTTCTTAAAACATATTTTACAATTATGAAGTTCTCCAGAGTTGCTTAGACATCTTTATCCTTGGTGGTCCAAAAGACTCAATCGTCTGTCGTGTAACCTATAAAAAGATGTGATAGTATAAGTAGCCCCGTAGCCACTCTTGTTTGGGTCGACTATAAATATCTGATTTTTTGGGTTTATCTTTCTTTCCAAACAGTTATTCTTGTATAGGGCAGGATGTATAAACTTTGATATCTGCCAAACCTTTCCATTCAAAGAAAAAAAAGATAATATACATATATACATATATACATATATATATATGTTATATATATGCAGTTTTTTGAACACTTTTGGTAAATTTGTCCACTGCCTCATCTAATTCTTCTGAAGTTTTAATTAAGCCAGGAATTGACAGTTCTGAATCCAGAAACGCCCTACAAGCATCCTAATTAATTTTACCATTGATGAGCTTTGGGTTTCGTGGAAGGTTGATGGGCTCACCTAGGATAACCGAGTGTATAAGGGATCAGAGCTTTTATTTATGGTGTAAGGTGCGGTCCTTAGTCTTTTGGGTATAAAAAAGTCAAGCAGGTCTGAGATTTTCCGTCGCGAAGCTGGCCAATATGTCGGTGTATCAGGTGATATAGTGTCTAATGAAAGTTCATGGATAGCAGCCCTCATATTTCTTCCTCCTGGTGTGCATAACCGCGATTTGGTGTTTTACGTTAAAGTCACCACACAAATTCTTAAAAAATAAAGTAAATAAAAAAAAAAAAAAAAACTTTCCCTCTATCTTCATAAATTACTGTGCTAAGAGATTATTAAACCTTTAAGGCACCATAATTTGAACAAAATGTCGAATATAAAAATTTGTGGAACATGTTGGGATGTGATTCTAACATATGTTAATTCTGTGAGCGTGACGGTTAATATATTTTATTCACTGATTTAACTCTTGATTCCTTTAATCCTGATGAAAAATTCTACTATTAAATTGATACAATTTTGTTCAACTGATACCTCTGAATGGGAGCGGGGTAGCTAAGTGGGTGAGCACTGACTTCCAGAACTTAAGGTTCCTTGTTCGAACCAGGCTGATAACTAGTTATGTTTCATCAGCCGTCGATCGATCCTGAGGCCAGGAAACCCTCGTGGGACATACCCAGCCTCTTTAATGTGGGCACTCTTAATTAAATAATTAATTATGGGAGAAAACCTGGCAGTTGAGCATAATCATCTTCCTGCACAAGTGTTGGTCTAGTTAACAGTAAATCCTCATATTGTACTGAACCAAAGACCCTTCATGGGTTTTTAGTGGTACAGGATTTATTTTTTGATAACTCTGAATATTAAGTTTAAAGGATACCTTTGTTACTATGTGGGTAAGCGTCTTCTACTTTTAACTTTTTTAATAATTTAATTTTAAAGTATTGGCGTTCGGTTAAGAATTTAACCGATTTCTCAAAAAAAAATGTCAGATTTAATTTTTAAATCATGAAGAAACAATGAAATTAGAAACTTTAATTTCTCACACTGATATGACCTTTGAAATCAATAAAATAGAGAAATATTTTTGTATGTTATATTATTTTACGCCCTGACGGGTCCAGAGGTATTTTTTGAGATGGTAGAGGATTTCCGACTGTGCTGGAAATCTTAACAAATCAAAAGTAATATTCAATTTATATAAGATATTAGTTTTAATATCTTACAATTACAATAGTTTAACACAGGTAAGGAAAGAAAACATTTTAATGACATTACCGAAAACGCACTGATGGTGTATTGATGAATTTCCCCATAATTATTGGTTATGATGCCATGTGGTTCCGATACTCAGATGTAGAGGAGACGTATAGTAAATGATTTTGGTTTACCACAATGAAAAGGAACTCTATGTGACTGCGAGATACCAGCGAGTTAATCTGAAAAGAAAAATAAGTGAGGCTTTACTTCGTAGAATTGTATTTGATAAACACTCCCTGAATTTAAGGAGAGATTTGATTTTCATGCTCTTCTCCATTACGGAAATCGACAGAGCAGTGACACAACAAGTGTAATAAAAGCAGCCTACCTGTCTGGTTCTATATATAGTCCATCCGCCAGCCAAGATCTAATCGAAAACACAACGTTTGTGTGTGTGTGAAACTATTTGGGATGGGGCACAATCGCGAGAATTATTTCCAACGTTGGCGGGTCTCCTGGGTCCTCCTGTCCTTGTAGATTTACAGCTCTTCTCCTAATTGTTGGCACCAGTTCTCAGGAGTTGGTTCTTGTTCAACCTTTATCAGAACTCATATCTACCCTCTTGTCCCTATCTTTGGACTCACAAGTGCCTGACTATTATTGGTACCCGCTGCTTTCCTCTTTCTGCTTTAAGAAATAAATCTAAATGCATGACTGAATCGCGAGTAGCCGCTTGAGGCACTACAAACCCGTACTGGATTCAGACACAAGAACTGGCTAACCACTCAAAAGATTGAAAATAACCTTCTGAGCTTGCTCTCTCTCTCTGAATACATTTTTTTTCTTAACACCAAAAATATGAATCACTACAACCAGATATTAATGTCAACTATAAACACTGACAAAAAAAAAAAAAAAAAAATTCATATAATAATAAACTACTTATCGAAAATTGAACTCTAGTGTAAAATTATTCTACTCTTATTTCCCCACTTTCTCTGAATCTTAATCTTCAAACGTTTTTCACTCATTTGCCAAAATTTAAATTTCAAGCATTTAAATGATCAATGGTAGCGAGGTAACTCAGTTGGTGAGCATTGGCTTCCAGAGCTCAAGGCACTAGGTTCGAATCCGGCTCATGACTTGTACTTTTTCATTAGCCGTGGAAATCCTCATGGAGCACACCCAGCTTCTATAAAGTGGATACTCTTCATTAAAAATAAATAATTAAGCAGGAAAACCTGGCGGTTGAGCGTGATATCGATACAATCACCTCCCTGCACAACCGTTGGCCTTGTAAGAGTACTTCCTCACATTGTACTAAAACCAAGTAAACTCTAAAACTTACATTGCTTGGTCCAGGTGAATACAGATTTTTTTTTTAATTTTATACAAAATAATATATCATTATAACTATATTCTGTGCCATGAAATATAGTTCTATGAATGAGGAGGGAAAATGATAGATGTTAATTTTAGAAAAAAGAAGAAAATTACAAAGACTAAGACGATTATTTGAACATTTTCATTTACCCTAAGCAAATATGCGTGTTTAGAATAATAACGAGTATATTGTTATTAGTTTGTACTCTTCAATATATTAGATTACAGAAATTTTCATTTTTTTAAATTTTGTTCTTCTGTTCTCCTCACGCTCTTATGTTCGATACCTCAAATCACCACCTCGGTTGCCTTGGTTAGATTTGAATAGTTATTATTATTTTTTTTTTGTGTAATTTATAAAGAAAACGGCGCAAATTATTAGGTAATGGTTTAGTTTGTTAATGTGTATTTTTTTTTTTTTGGAGGGGGATAGGATTAGGTACGATTAGAGCGTGGTATTGTAGAATTTGTATTTCGAATATTGTTATTGTGGGTATGTGAGCAGGTATGTTTTGAAATTCACATGCTAGGGTACGCGAGTGATAGGTTTTAATGAATTTTATTGACGACCATGCTATTTGGATTTGTCTTTTTAGCTCTCCTGTGACTTTTTTAACCTTGGATCCACGTGGGTTTTAGTAAATGAGTGCAAGTATTTAGTGTTTCCCTAAATCGAGTTCGAAATGAAGTCACTAAGCAAATCAAATGGCTCTGATTGAAATGAAAAACATATAACTACCAGCTATACTTATATAATTTTTTTTAAATCTACAATATATATATAATACGGTAGGGTGAATCTCTTTGCCGACTCTTAGGAACAATGGATTTTGATGAATGGGAATTTCATGGAAAAGTAAGGAATCCCAATTTCGATTCTAAAAAAAAAAAAAAATAAATATCCTGCAATAACAGTTATAAAAATCATTAAAAAAAATTGCAACGTTTCCGAACACAGGTGTTTGAACAGGATGTCTCTGGAATACTTATCTCTAACGGATCCAGGATTTAATTTTGGGAGAGGGGACTTCAGCCCAAAAGATTTTTTTTTATATATATATATATATATATATTACGATTACTTCGGAAGAAAGAATGAAACTAACTACCTATATAAAATGGTGTTTAAGTGATTCTATAAGTCCTATTAAATGTAATTAAACGAACAATAATAATTTTAGGGATAATTTTTTTTTATAAAACATAGTTATATTTTACCATTTTGGGAGCTTCTGTCCAAAAGCCCTCTCCCTCCCCGTAGATTCGTTTGTGATACTTATCAAGTATTTTTAAGTTTAGTAATTTCAATATTTCTATTTATGATTTATACTAAAAATCAATTTAAAAAGTGAATGCATGGGAATAGATCTAGGATCCCTTGGTAACTCGGATAATATAAAAAAATCATTTGGATATTTTTAATAAATAAAAAAATAACCAGGTGTGGCTTCTATACTTCCAGTAATAAACTTTTATATGCTCAGTGAGAGAACTAAAAACCAAAGATCTTCTACACCAAACAAATAGGTCTTAAGCGAATACAATAATAGATTAATACAAGTTCAGAGAAAGCTGTGTTTATTGCTTGACTAATTAACTGGAGGAATATTTTCCAATGGCACAAGCTAATAATTTATTAAGTAAATTATTGTTTTAAGCCGTAATGAAGTATGAAGTTTCGCCAATTATGTGTGTCGAATAGACTACCTTGATAATATTATATTGTATATTGGAATAAACATGTTTCGCTGATTTGTCGGTTTCATCAGGAGCGATGGCTATCTGACGTGAGAGGTCTCACTAGTATTAATTTAATATAAACAGTTTATTTTCTTTACGAAATTAATTATTAGATATTTGATTTTTAAATAGAATTTTATAAGGGGTTCTATCGATAGAAGTATGACGTCAATGAAAAGGTCAAAAGGATGGAGAACTGAAAAGGCTCAATAGAGCAAACAGAAAATAAAAATAAATAAAACCTAGACGGGAAGGCAATTCAAATTAGAGGGTCTGAAATACCTTTGGTCAACAATGGAACCGTAATAAACTTTTCAACAGCATAAATATTATGCTTATATTAAAATATTCATAAAATCATAATGCGTTGGCAGTATTAATAACAATCCAGGCTTTTGTACAAGTAATGTGTATATTTATTTATTCTGTAATGTTATTTTATATACATATTAATATCAAGTTTATATCTTATATCTTCTTAATAATATCTCGTAAAAATAAATCTTATCAAATTTATTATATACAGTAATGAATAAAAGTTGGCATGATAAAACTTTTACTCATCATCCTAGGTTCAGTATTAATTAACTTTATATAAATTAAAAATCCTCACGAATATTATTTATAAATATTATAAATATAAAACAATTATTATAATCATATTTATTGCATACTATTAATTTTTAAAGTTTTCAATTAATTTTTAAAGTGAATTCCATATAATTTCAATGGAAGTACTCACTTTATATTCAATGATATAAAATTAGAAATAATTAATTACGACCATTAATTGATAAAGATTTTTCGTCACATTTCATTAATTTTTCACTGGATGTTTGTTTTAAACCCAGGATAATAATTAATTATCCCATTTTTCTCCTTTAGTTAATTATGAAATTCTTTCATAGTTTATATTTATCCATTTCCATAACTAATAACAACGAGAGACGATTAATAATTCCAAATAAGAAGAATTAAAGGAATTTTTGAGGAAGAAGTTTTGAAAATTAGGCGTATGCAAGAGCTCCATTTCAGAGAAATTTCATAGATAAAAAAATTGTAGGTTACGATAAGATGAAGCTTTTAATGGCTTTAGCCAGAAGTTAATAATTTAATAAAAAGGGTTATACACCACAGACTATTAGTATTATTTAGAGGTTATGAGAAGTAACATGAAGGAATGTTTTAGTAATACAGCCATAGTCGAGACACTTCGGCAGCATATACCATATACCATATAGTCAAAATTGGGGATTTGCCACTCACAACGGTTCGCGGAACAAATGCCATCGGAACGGAACGAAATCCTAGGAATCTTCGTTCCGCTGGAATGTAATCTAAGAACATAATGAAAACGTCTTTAGGTTTCGAAAGCTAAATGTTGGACAACAAAGTCAAAAAAGTACAAAAATAAATTTATAACAATTAAGGTGAGTGTGCGACTGCAATTAGTCGCCGAATGGATTAGGAGAATAGTCAAATTGGTTGTTTCCTTCAAAATTAAACCATAATGACTAAATTTAATTTAGTGTTTGATTAAATATAAATAAATCCAATTAAATTAAACTATGATAAGATCTAAACTATGAATTTAAGATAGCAATTTGTAAATTTGATAAATATTAAATAAAAGAACGAGATTCAGATAAACTATTAAAATAATAAATAAATAAATAAAATATTGAAATAATTAGTTTATCAAAAGATTTTATTATTATTAGGACTGATAAACCTGTGGTTCTGTTGTGAAAATGAAATTTGTAATTGGTCATTGTGATTTTATGTCATTGGTTTTTTCATAGATTATTTGGAATTAGAAAACCTCAGATTTTACATTTTATTTTACTTTTCTTAGCTACCTATAAGAGTCATGAGAGATATTAATATCGTTTTAAAATATTTATATTTATGGTGCTTGCCAATTATAAAAGTTAAAATTGTTTTCGTCTATAAAAATTTTGGAAATAACTGCGGGATTAAGAGTTATTTTTACCTAAATAACTAGGCGAACTAAAACATTGAAGCTTAGATTCGAAGTACCTATGAGTGAGGCGGAATCAGCCGCTGTTAGGAAGGAGGCCGAGGCAGCCCAAGCTGCGGCTCGTATGGACTGCTA